AGTATCTATGTAATATGTAGACGCAGGGGGGGGCTGCAAAAATGTAAAATGAACCATTTTCATTTTATATGTAAATTATACCTATTAAGACAAATAGAAAAAGTTTCATGCAGAAAAAATACTTTAAACTATTTTAATTTTTTTTTACTTTAAAACGGGTCAGTTTGACCCGCAACATAACAGGAGTGTTAAGCTGCTGCTTTGCTCTTGTGRACGACACACTGACCTAAAGGTCCTTGTCCCCCGACAGCATAGATCCTGCTGTTGACAACCACCAGCCCGTGGTTCTTCCTGGCCTCTCTCATCCCACACAGTTCTCGCCATCTAATAGAAACAATCAGAGAGTTGCAGAAAACAATTGCACTTCAAGTTATTTTGTGCTTCTCTATATTCAGAGCTGTGGGTTTTATTGGACTCACTGTTGGGTGTTGGGGTCGTACACCTCGCAGTTGCTGAGGATCCTCCCAGAGACGTTATTTCCAACTGTTCCTCCGCAGACATAAATGAGCCCGTTGGCCTCCACGGAGCCGTGACTGCAGCGGGCCATCAGCATGCTGGCTTTGACCTGCCACGACTCCGTCCTCGTGTCATAGCATTCGAAAAGGTCCAAGGCAGAGCTGCCTGTAAAACACACCGTGCTTTGATCGAACCAAAAGACGCAAATTCCCTTTCTCCCAACACCTGTCTGCTTACCGACTTCGGAGCCGCCGGATGTGTAGATCTTGCCCTGCGAAGCGCAGGCGGCCAGGCTGTCGCGCGGCGTCGGCGGACCCAGCTTGGAGTACCAGCTGTCCTTCAGAACGTTGTAGCAGTCCATGCGCTTGATGGGGAAGAGCTGCGAGCCCCCCAAAATGTACACCACGTTGTCCCAGAAGACGGCAGTGGCATCTCGACGCTTCTCAAAAGGACAGCGGATGTCTGTCCAGCTGGAGTCCTGCAGGGGGAAAAAAAAAAGACACTTGACGAATATGACCCAACTTTCCATGACGACGCTGCTAAATTTAATGTATAATGTGTCTGTACCTTTGGGTTAAAATAACGGCAGGACTGAGGTTGGGAGCCCCCGAACAAAGCGATGCGGTAGTCGTGCTTTTTGCGCCGCGGTCGGCTGCTCTCTCCCAGGTCCTCTCTGTCCTCCAGGGACAGCAGGTGGTAACGCATCCCGCCTTGAACAAAAAAAGCATCGAATGGTTTTGTTTTGCGTTCRTCGTCACAATCCATCTTTGCACTTCTGATTCTTTTATATTTTCAATCTTCCTACTCACTGATGACCATCTTGAGACACTGCGGGTTGTCCTGGATGAGGGGCTCGGCCTGTACGGTCTTTGAGAGGAAGGTTTTGGAGACCAGAGGAAAGCGGACACACCCCAGCACCTCCACCATGTACTGTTCTCGGTTGCACACGTCGTACTTCAGCCAGCGAACTGCAGCATCATAAATCTGAAGACAAACAAAACACTAAAGCATTCAAAAAGCAATAAACACCAATAAACTTCACTCAGTTTGGATGAAAACTAATCCAAGTTTTAGATACCTTTTGATCAACTGGTTTCAAATTCAAATTTTCAAAAATTCAAGTTTTACAAAAATCATTACAGACCTTTCTTTACGGCAATACTTAAAGGGGCAATATTATGTGTTTCTCAGGCATATATTTAAATACTATACCATAGTAAAGTATTTATGTCACCTTTAGCTGTTATTAAAATGCTGTTTTTATGTTTAAATAGAAAATAAACTTATCTTCTCATCACTTCCTCTTCTAAACGCCTTGAAATTGGCCTCTGTCTCTTTAAGAACCACCTTCTGCTTCTGTCTCGCCCTTTTCGGTGTGGGGGTGGGGGGTGTTTGTGCTCACAGGGGGGGCTGCTATGATGCAGTTTACTTGGCATCTGAAAATACATTTCCTCAAATGGTATTTTGAATTTGAAAAGACCTTCACTGAGTGAGAAGTGGTGGAGCTCAGCTGAGAGTTTCAGTTTCACTTTCAGTTTCATCCGAGAGCCTGCAGGAGTCATGGGCGGGGTGTGATGAGGAAGTTCGGCTTAAAGACACGTCCCAGGGGCGTTTCTGGTCCCCACCTGTCGTTTTGCTCCTCAGCATGGCTGCCTAAAAATGCTACAGGATCTCAAACATGCATGAATGAGTCAAAACAAGGCTTTGGGCATGTTTTTTTWATGAGTATAACATTATAACATGATATAAAACTCCAGGGGCGCAGATAGGATTTTTGAACTGGTGGGGACCAAGTTTTCAGCAAATGATTTCCATCTAAGTAATTTTTAGTAATTTGATTAGTTACTTTCATAATAGCTTTTGAGTGAATGGTTTGCAATAAAATGGCATTATAGAATTATTTGAAATTAAAGAAGAAAAATGAACATTGTTAAACACCTTCCAAGTCAACACTAACCATACATTGTTAAACTGTAATTTGTAAGGAGTACGACCGATCCACCAAAACTTGCCTCTAATGCTGTGTGTGTGGGAGTGGGGGGTAGCAAGGGGTTCCTCTGTAGGACCCTGGGGAGTAATAAAATGAATGAGATACAAATTATCACAATGGCTTTAGAGGACAATTTTATTTTATTTTGTTTATTCTTGATTTAGTTTTATTTGTAACATGTCATTGTGCCAAGCAATGATGACACTCAAATGTATGTTTATAAATTATAATGACTTTACCCAATGAAAAAAGTGATATTGATATTGATAACCACCAACAGTGAATTTAGGAGGCATTTCTTTCCTGATTTAGTGATAGGCACACTCATAACAAACTGACATGACATCATGAACATAAAATGAAACTGTGCCAAACAATGGTTACAAAAAACTATAACTGTTTTTTTTTCCAGTTTTGTCAACCTGTATGTAAACATTAAGAAAAACTGATACATGGATGTTTGGAATTGATTAGAAAGCTTTTGATAGATGGACTGAGACATTTATTTATAGATCTTTTATATAAAAATCAAATTCTAATTATGAAAAACAATTTCTACCACTTCCTAGAAATGAAACTTAAATAAAGTTGTTAATGCTCTAGTTTGTCTTTAGATCAGTAATTTGTTTCATGAAGTTTACCCAACTAACTAGAATATACTCAAAATAAATTGTAATTTGAGTAAACACTTTATATTTAATTCACAACTGCCCAGCACCTTTATCACTCASCTGACAGAACTCTGTCCCTACCTGCTGAGTGCTGCCTCTGACTCAGCCTCTGTCTTTCTGAGCTCCTACATCAAGACAGATGGAGATGGATTAAGTATTAGGCTTTTTACTGCCACCTGAAGTCAGTCAGTCAGCTTTAAAAAGTCAAGAAAATATCCTGAAATAACAATAAAAAAGAGAATACTAATTGTTCTTTACATCATCTGACTATCAAAATTTAAACTCCTCTGACAATGAATTCAATACTGAAACTCTACAACATGCTAAACTCCAAATAATCATTTTGTTAATGCTAAAAAGCAATATCCTGAAACTATTAAGTTATAGAAAATGAACTGGTCAATTCTTCAATGTTGAAATTATAACAGGGAATCAATAAATATAATCAGAGTGGACTTTGTCCTCATTCTTGGCATTAAAATAAAATTGAACTGATTAAAAACACACTGTGACTGCTGGATACGGGCACCAGTTACCCAGGCGAAAGGCATAAGCGTGTACAGAAAATGGATGGATTGATAGATTTAATATCATCACTGAATTTAAGTTATAGCTAACCTAAGGTAGCTAGCTGATAGATCACCTGGTCTGGTCTACCTAACTGCACGAACTTTCAGTAAGAAAAAACGTCATTAGGGAAATTTTAAAATTATTTTCCGGTTCTGTGAAGAATAAAGTTGACCAAAAAGCTGGACATCAAAGGAGTCTGATATTACCTCTTCCAGATGAAGCCTGAACTCGTTTCAACTCGTTGTTTATGATGCTGGAGAAGGCAGAGCAACGCAGCGCGACCCGTGCAGCCTGTGTGTGTGTGCGTATGTTTTTGCTGCGTGGTTGGGACCTATTTCCTGCAGGTGCACACAGCCCAGCGGTGGTGAGAATCCATTGTTCCTTATGGGGACAAAAAGCCCGGTCCCCGTTTGGAAACATACTGTTGTTGGGTCAGGTTGTAGAAATGACCGGTAAATGAATGGAAGTCAATGCAAAGTCCCCATGAGAATAAAGAACAAACCCGTGTGTGTGTGTGTGTGTTTCACCGCTCCGCTGTGTGACACAGACTGAGAGATGGGAAGGGAAGGGAGGGGGGAGAGCCTGCTGCTGCTCCTCTGTGGGAGCGTCAGCGAACTAACAGAACGGTAATCATAAGTTTTGATCAGATTTTTTCTCATCCTATCAGGGAAAGTGGGGGGGACAGATCAGGGTCACTATAAATCTGGGGGGGACATGTCCCCACCGTCCCCCGTACTAACTGCGCCCATGTAAAACTCAAAAAAGTTGATTTTACATGATATTGCCCCTTTAAACATTTATATTACACAAAACAAGAATGAAAGGTGAAAATGTGAACCTGGGCCTCCGCACGGACGGTCAGTTTGTCCTGGTGCAGCAAATATGTGAGCTGTGAGACATCAAGCTGCAGAAATTCATCCAGTTTGTAGACTTCTGTGAAATGGAGCTGGAAAAAGTCCTCCGCAGCCACCTTCAGCTCCGGACAGTCCATACAGTCTGCAAGGGCTGAAATCCCTGCAGGAGWACAGGAAACAGCTCAGCTGTTATAATAAATGGTTTATTTATAAAACCTGGATGAGTATTTCATGTATTTACCTAAGCAGTTTGTTGCATCAATCTGCCCTTTAAGGAACTCCACACACATCTTCTTGACCGGCTCAATTTGATACTGGTTGGCTGCGTCCAACAAGGACTGAACGTTACTACTGTTTACTGATATTCTGGCATAARCACACACAGATAACACACACCATTTATCAAGGAAAGACATGCAAACAAAACCATCAATCTTAGAAGAATCATATATTTCTTGTAGCATAATAAACAGTGTTATACCTCGCTGTGTAAATAAATTCAATCAGTAGTTCGATGATTTCAGGCTCAGCACTTCTGAGCTCCACCTCGTGGGACATTGATTCCATCATTCTGGCTGGATATGAGGGAAAAAAAACAATGTCTATTAAAACCACAGAAGCACAAATCAACAATTTTACCAAATAAATTGTTTTATCTGAGTTGTGCACTCAAAACTGCAACAAATTTGTGTTTGTGCATTTTCATGCTTACTGGTGAACATGAGGCTGAAGAAGTGGCTGGCAGAAGCAAGCACAACTCTGTGGGCTGGAAAATGTTTCCCCTGAACAACAAGGGTCACATCACAGAGAGTTCCCTGGAGGAAATAATAATAATAATAATAATAATAAGAATAATAAACACATTAAACTGGATGTTATCATGCATGCATGCAAACAGACTACTTTACTTGTCTTCTCTCCCCTCATTCACACACACAGACCTGTTTTCTCAGGTTATTCATGCCTCCCATGATGCTGGACAGCTGTCTGTATTCCTCCTTCGTGGCACATTTTCTTTCGCTCTTCTTCTTGGAGCTGGCCGCCTTCTCTGGAGAGGCTATCCCCGTCATGTCAGGCTGCTTGTTTTTTTTTTTTATTATTATTGTCTGCTCAAATTAAAAACAAGTCGTTCAGAACCACCAGTACCAGAATGCGTGGCTGTTTGGTGTCTCTTCTTTGTTGCTCTGTCAGTAATCTTAAATTATTTGTCTGAAGGAGTGAGCAGACTGTTAAGAATTATTATCTAAAGCCGCCGACGTGTCAGCATAAAAAAATAACAACTTTAAATGAAAACCCAAATTTTAAATCCGAATAAAACGTGTTGCGGAAAATATTTAGCAAAACACAGCCCAACACTGACAAGCTTGGTGTTCTTCTTCTTCTACGGGTTATTTACAGAGACGGCGCTTTGCTGCCCCCTTCAGGTTAGTTCATATATTGCTGCAATACTAATCATTGGTTAGCTCTAGAAAGTCGATTTATTACTAAATAAAAAGATTCATGTCAGCATTCAACATTTAAGATATTTAAAATATTATTTACTGAACCATAGTGGAAACAAGTGTTCATACTTTCTTGTGTTATCCAGTTTTAATAATGAATGTAAATACTGTATACACATGTTATGTTATTACTAAATAAATCAAATCAAATTGTTCCTGATGCCTCTTCCAACATTAATATTTCAATCAACCTTGAAGCAGACCTAGTGGTCAATTTATTTATTTATTTATTTATTTATTTATTTATTTATTTATTTATTATGGAGCACTTTGAGCACCTTCGCTCTTAGAACCGGCTATATTAATTGATTGAACAAACACAATAAAACCCAACTAACTAATTGTTAAAATCAGGAATGCAGGAATATTGGAAGAGCTGAAACTTTTATCAAAACCAGTCAAACGTCATATTTTTCTCAGACAAAAAAATGTCCATATCATTTAAAAAAATCTAAAACAAAATATCAAGTGAAAAAAAAACATTAATCAAAAAGCATATAAACGGTTATTTCAATATTTAAAAAGCTTGCTGTAGAAATGATAAAGTTTAGCAAAGTAAATGAATGTATAAGTGAATGAAAATACGTAAAATATATGATATTGTTATTATAAATTAATTCAAACAATTTTTTTTGACAAGAAACACTTAAAACTCATAAAACAAGAACTCTTACTAAGAACAATTTCAAAATTTGCCACCATAAAATCTGCTCCTGGCCATCCTTCTATATCATATCCCAAAGGTTTTAAGGTGCTATTTTTTCTGCTTAAAAGTCACTCCTAATT